TGAAGAATAAATTAAAATGATCTGAAGTGAAATGATCTGAATTAAAATTGCCTATACACAGTTTTAGGGTTTTATTTTTCTAAATGTGGTCCAAATTTAGCATATACAAACTTGACTACTATGTGATTAAATAGAAAATTTGATAATTCTTAAGATCAAATCCACTTTAGGCATGTATCAAAAAATAAAACTGTAATTTGGTAGTATAGTTTTCAAAGTCAGTTGTTAATACACAGTAAATTTACATTATGCAAGGAAATAAGGTATAGAAAAGAAGTAATATTTTAAATCTGTTTTTTTCTAATACAAGTAAATTATTGATATCATGGTGCAACTCAGCAGTAGATCATTTGCATGTATGAGGCCTTGAATTTGTTTTTTTTTTTTTTTTTTTTTTTTTTTTAATTTTTTTATTTTTTTTATTAGTGAAAAACCATGAGGTACAGTTATAGGCTTACAAATTTTGTGCTTGGGTTTCAGTTATACAATGATCAAGTCCCCATACCTCCACCAGTGCCCGTCATCCATCCCCATGGGTCCCAGCATCCCCCCCCTCATCCCCCCCCCCCCCCCCCCGTCCCATCCTGCCTCTGTGGCAGGGTATTCCCCCTTGTTCTCTCTCTCTTCTTTTGGGTACTGTGTTTTGCAAGAGAGGCTTTGAGTGGCAATCATGTTTGGTCTATCGACTACTTTTAGCATGCTTCTCCCACCCTGGGAGGGCCCTCACAACACCCTTCATTTGGTAATCTCTTCTCTATCTGAGCTTCCTTTTCACCTAGAGCCTGTGGCTGGCCTTCCATTCATGGGGCAAAATTCCTGGTACTAATCTCAGCCATTCCTGGGTGTTAATCTCCCTTTTTGTTGCTTTATGTTCCCCAGATGAATGCAATCTTTCTGTGTCTATCCCGCTCTTTCTGACTCATTTCGCTTAACATGATACTTTCCATGTAGTACCACTTGTATGTAAATTTCATAACTTCATCTTTTCTAACAGCTACATAGTACTCCATTGTGTAAATGTACCAAAGTTTCTTTAACCAGTCATCTGTTCTTGGGCACTCAGGTTTTTTCCAGATTCTGGCTATTGTAAAGAGTGCTGCAATGAACAAACAATTGCAGATGTCACTTTGACTATACCTTTTTGCCTCTCTGGGATATATTCCCAGGAGTGCTATAGCTGGGTCAAATGGCAGATCAAATTCTAATTTTTTGAGAGTCGTCCATACTGTTTTCCAAAAGGGTTGGACCAGCCGGCATTCCCACCAGCAGTGAAGGAGGGTCCCTTTCTCGCCACATCCGCGCCAGCACCGGTTGCTTTTGTTCTTGTGGATGTGGGCCAGTCTCTGTGGTGTGAAATGATATCTCATTGTGGTTTTGATCTGCATCTCTCTGATGATTAGTGATGTAGAGCATTTTCTCATGTGCCTTTTTGCCATTCGAATTTCTTCTTTGCGAAAGTTTCTGTTCATTTCCTCACCCCATTTTTTGATGGGGTTGGGTGATTTCTTCTTGTGGAGTTTAACCAGTACCTTGTATATCCTTGATATCAACCCCTTGTCGGATGTGTACTTGGTGAATATCCTTTCCCATTCTGTAGGCTGTCTTTGTATTTTGGTCACTGTTTCTTTGGAGGTGCAGAAGCTTCTTAGTTTAAGATAGTCCCATTTGTCTATCTCTGTTTTCACTTGCTCAGCCAGTGGCGTGACATCTTTGAAGATACCATTAGCTTCAATATCATGGAGAGTTTTGCCGACTTTGTCTTCAATAAACATTATGGATTCTGGTCTGATGTTGAGGTCATAAATCCATTTTGATCTTACTTTTGTGCATGGTGTTAGGCAGAGATCTGAGCCCACTTTTTTGCATGTAGCCGTCCAATTTTGCCAGCACAGTTTGTTGAAGAGGCTTTCCCTGCTCCATTTCACTTTTCTTGCCCCCTTATCAAAAATTAGATGATTATATGTTTGGGAGGAAATGTCAGTATATTCAACTCTGTTCCATTGGTCTGCAGCTCTGCTTTTGTTCCAGTACCATGCTGTTTTAATTATTACTGCCTTGTAGTAGAGTTTGAAGTTAGGGAGGTTGATTCCTCCCGTTTTCTTTTTCCCAAGAATTGCTTTAGCTATTCGTGGGGGCTTATTGTTCCATATAAATTTCAGGAGTGTTTGCTCCATTTCTTTGAAGAATGTCATGGGTATCCTTATAGGGATTGCATTGAATTTGTATAGTGCTTTGGGAAGTATTGCCATTTTGATGATGTTGATTCTCCCCATCCATGAACAGGGGATATTTTTCCATTTCCTCGTGTCCTCTTTTATTTCCTGAAGTAGCGTTTTGTAGTTTTCCTTGTACAGGTCCTTTACTTCCTTAGTTAAGCTGATTCCTAGATACTTGATTTTCTGGGGCACAATTGTGAATGGGATTGTTTTCTTGATGTCACTTGCTTCTCTTTCACTATTTGCGTATAGGAATGCCATGGATTTTTGGGTATTGATTTTATAGCCTGCCACTTTACTATACAAGCCTATTGTTTCTAGGAGTTTCTTGGTAGAGGTTTTAGGGTTCTCTAAGTATAGTATCATGTCATCTGCGAATAGTGAGAGCTTAATTTCTTCTTTCCCTATCTGGATGCCCTTAATATCTTTTTCTTGCCTAATCGCTATTGCAAGTACTTCCAGTACTATATTGAACAGTAGTGGAGAGAGTGGGCATCCTTGTCTCGTCCCTGACCTTAGGGGGAAGGGTCTCAGTTTTTCCCCATTGAGGATGATGTTTGCTGTAGGTTTGTGGTAGATGGCTTTAACTATATTGAGGAAAGTCCCCTCTATCCCCATTTTGGCAAGGGTTTTCATCATGAATGGGTGCTGGATCTTGTCAAAAGCTTTCTCTGCGTCTATTGATATGATCATATGATTTTTATCTTTTCTTTTGTTGATATGATGGATTATGTTGATTGATTTCCGAATGTTGAACCATCCTTGCATCCCTGGGATGAATCCTACTTGGTCATGATGTATGATCTTTTTGATGAGTTGTTGTATTCTATTGGCTAGTATTTTGTTGAGAATCTTCGCATCCGTGTTCATCAGGGATATTGGCCTGTAGTTTTCTTTTCTTGTGGTGTCTTTGTTTCCTTTTGGTATTAGAGAGATATGGGCTTCATAGAAGCTGTTTGGGAGAGTTTCTGTTTTTTCAATTTCCTGGAAAAGCTTGAGAAGAATTGGCAATAGGTCCTCTTTAAATGTTTGGAAAAATTCGCTAGTAAATCCATCTGGGCCTGGGCTTTTGTTTTTGGGAAGACTTTTGATTACAGTTTCAATTTCCTTGATGTGAATGGGTCTATTCAGGTACTCTATATCTTCTTGATTCAGCTTTGGGAGATGGTAGAGATCCAGGAATTTATCCATTTCTTCTAGGTTCTCGTGTTTCGTGGCATAGAGACTTTCAAAGTAGTCTCTGATGATCTCTTGAATTTCTTTAGTTTCTGTTGTGATATCCCCATTCTTATTTCTGATTCGATTTATTAGGGTTCTCTCTCTCTGTTTCTTTGTGAGTGTTGCTAGTGGTTTATCTATCTTATTTATTTTCTCGAAGAACCAGCTCTTGGTTTCATTGATCTTTCGGATTGTTTCTTTGTTTTCCATGTCGTTGATTTCTGCTCTAAGTTTTATGATCTCTTTCCTTCTGCCTGATTTAGGCTCTTTCTGTTGATCCTTTTCTAAGGTCTTGAGCTGTGAGGTCAAATTGTTTATGTGCATCGTTTCTATCGACTTAAGATAGGCTTGCAGAGCTATAAATTTCCCCCTTAATACAGCTTTCGCTGCATCCCATAAGTTCTGGTAGTTTGTGTCTTCATTCTCATTTGTGAGGCCTTGAATTTGATCCTTAGCACTACTTAAAAAAATTCTACTGAAATGCTCTAGGTGGTTTTCAATACACGGACATAGGTCAACATGAAGTATTTCTTCTCCTACCTGTATATTGTTTGAAGGTAAAGAAGATTTAATGAATATGCTTAAATATGTCTTTGAATTGGTCCTTTGTGCTCTTATCCTTAAGACTGTCAAGCTATTGGAGGCTAGAGAGATAGTACAAGTGGGTAGTTTGTCTTGCATGTGGAGTACCTGGGTTTGATCCCAGGTACCATATGGTATCCTGTGCACCAGCAGGATTAATTCCTGATGACAGAGTCAATAGCATTGCTGGATGTGGCCCAACAACAAAAAATTTTTTTAAAAGATTGTTAAACTGGGCTGGAGAGATAGTACAGTGGATAGGGCATTTGCCTTGTACACGGCTGTCCTGGGTTCGATCTCCAGCATCCCATTTGGTCCCCCAAGCACCGCCAGGAGTAATTCCTGAGTGCAGAACCAGGAGTAACCCCTGAGCATTGCTGGGTGTGTCCCCCAAGAAAGATTGTTAAACTATTGTTCTGATCTGCTATTTCAGACAGTTCCTTTGTCATATAATTGACATCTATGTTTTATTACCTACAAAAGTAAAGGCCCTCTCGTTGATCATCGATTTGCTCGAGCGGGCCCAGTAACGTCTCCATTGGAGACTTTGTTGTTACTGTGTCTGGCATATCGAATACTCTCGGTAGCTTGCCGGGCTCTCCGAGAGGGGCGGAGGAGTCGAACTCGGGTCGGCCATGTTGGTTGCGTGCAAGGCAGACGCCCTACCCGCTGTGCTACATGCTAAGTAAATATGATTATGTATATAATTGTCATGTCATTTATATTTTCTTTAACCAAAAATTATGGAGTGATAGTATTTTTACTATGTACATTTTGTATTCTTTAATTTATAAAAATTCTATCTCCATAGAACTTTGAGGCAGCATAAACTGTAACACATAGCTCAACTATTGCCGTGACTCAACAAGTCGAAGTTCCCAATGTCCAAATCCCCCGTTTAGTAAACTCTTAATGTTGTTTAAGTTTCTTTTCAGACTATATTGACCAAACTTGGAATTAAACCACAAATTCTTTCAAGTGTACCTTCACTGCACCATTCTCATGCATAGTGATGCAGTTGTTGGCATCTTCTGAGAGTTGGTACAAGGCTTGAGCAGTTGCTCTGTGCACAGCTGTGTCCTGTGATTTTAGGTAACGCACTAATGGAGCCACTGCTTTGTGTTCACCAAAGGCCACTCTATTTCTGCCCCACATACAGCAGCGTGAAATAGCTTCTGCTAGATGACGTCTCAGTTTATCATTATTCTGCAAAAAGGAAACAAATTGTGGTGATGAGCATTGTACTGATGCAGAGGTTATGTTTAGGCACTGGATCTTTCCTTTCCCTAATGGTAAAATCATTTATTTTCTGTTTTCTTCTTATAATCTAATCACTGTGAGATACACAGTTATATGCTATTCATGATCGGGTTTCAGTCATACAATATTCCATCACCCATCCCTCCACCAGCATACACTTCCCACCACCAATGTCCCCAGTATCCCTCCCATCACTTCTTCCCCCACTCCAGCCTTCCTCTATAGCAGGCATCTCTTTCTTTCTTTCTTTCTTTCTTTCTTTCTTTCTTTCTTTCTTTCTTTCTTTCTTTCTTTCTTTCTTTCCCTCCCTCCCTTCCTTCCTTTTTTCTTTCTTTCCTCTCTCTCCCTCTTCTCTCTCTCTCTCTCTCTCTCTCTCTCTCTCTCTCTCTCTCTCTCTCTCTCCTTTCTCTCCTCCTCTCCCTCCCCTTCCTTTTGGACATTATGGTTTACAAACCATATGTACTAGATCTTATTACCTGCTGAGAAGTCAAGGAGTTAAGAAAAAAGGACTAGTTGGTTTTACAGGTGGCACTTTAAAAGAATTAGTATTTTGCTAGGTTACCCCAAGTTTAATCCCAAGTTATTTTTTATGGACTAAATGTAGTCAGAGCATTCAAGAGTGATCAGGTGTCTGGTATTGTTCACTCATTCTAAATTTCCTCTGAAATAAGTCTACTTAAAGCAGAGATGCAGATCAGTAAGCATGTGAGTAGTAAAAATAATTTTAAAAAAGTTGGACAAAAATAAAATTTTAAAAAATCTTGGACATTCTTAGTGGAGTGATCTCTTAATGAAGCTAAGTAGGTCAACTCTTCTTCACCTTAACATCACTTCTACTTGAGAATTACATCTCAGTCTCAAGATGGAAAAGACAACAAACAAATGCAATGTTTTAAGTCTACTATTTCCTTTCTGTATTATTTAGGCAGGTCATGTCCTTTTATATGTACTTCTCTACTATAGATATAAGTGAATGGAACATGGTTTTCTGTTTATTAACTTTACAGCCCTCTTCATTCAGTCAACTACTTGGTGTCTTTCCTTAACTAAATCTGGCAGATATTGTTAGGAACTCAGCGTTGACCATCCCTAAAAAATTTCCTAGACTAAGCATTCTTCCAATTATTAAATTTCTGCTGTATGATTTTTCTGCCAAGTGGTAGTCCAAGTTATGCTCAAATACTTCTGGCCATGGTGAAGTCATTAGCTCTTGAGGCTGCTTATTCTCTCTGGCAGAGCACTGGATAAATAATACAGTGGTTGCCAAAGTGTTGTAGCTCAAGAATGCCAAAGAGCCAACCTTGCTACACAGAGGGGAGATGCATTTAATTTCTGAAACTTGGTGTGACTGGTTATCTTAGGGATAATAATGATTATGCTGATGAAGAGGAGTGAAATATTTCCATAATATTTATATTTGCCACTGCATGCTAGTGACAAATGAAAGGCAGCTTCTATTTTGCAAACATTTTATATACTAACACCTGTAGCTTAAAATACATTGCCACATGGGTTTGCTCCATGGCTTGGAGGCAAGCCACACATGCCAGGGGGAAAGGGAGCTCAGATAGAGATGGGAGCACCAAATAAAGGGTGTTGGGAGGATCCTCCCAGGATGGGAGAAGCATGCTGAAAGTAGACTATAGACCAAACATGATTGCCACTCAATTCCTCTTTTGCAAACCACAACACCCAAAAGGAGAGAGAGAACAAAAGGGAATGCCCTGCCACAGAGGCAGGGTGAAATGAGAGGGATGGGGGGTGGGAGGGATACTGAGACCCATGGTGGTGGAAAATGGGCACTGGTGGAGGGATGGGTATTTGATCATTGTATAATTGAAACCCAAGCACAAAAATTTGTAAGTCTACAACTGTACCTCATGGTGTTTCACTAATAAAAATTTAAAAAAATACATTGCCACAGGTATTTTTCCTAGAGAAATTAAAGAATATGACTTAAAGTCCATGTGCAAGTTATGAACATTAAACTTGTATCCTGGTCTCTTTTTAATTTAAACTTTAATTTAATTTTTATTTTAAATTCACTTTTTGCCACTATACCATTAAATCTTATGACAAAATATATTTTCATAAAACAAGGTACTTACAGTATTTGCTAATTTAGATAATAAAGGAACAACTCCATGATCTGTAATAACAGCTAAATTTTCTTGATCTTTTGCAATATTAGTAATAGCAGCACACACACTTGCTAAGACTTCTTTATTATCTGATTTCAGTAAATTGACAACAAGTTCCAAACCACCAACAAAGGAACGGACCATTTCTCCAGAGTCCTAGGTAACCATAAAAATAAAGACCATGTTAAAAAAAACTATTTCTCAGATCACAAAATAATGACAAATCTGTGAGATACACCTTTAGTATGAAATGCAATGTTTAATTTCTCTAGTACATATAATTTTTTCTATGTCTGCATAGAGTGTGTGTATACAAAAACAATTCAATTTCAACATTTATCAAAAAGCCATTATGAGGGAGACACTATGATAACTAAATGGGTATTTCGAAGTTTGAAAACTGTAGTTGAGACCTGTTGTGTCCAGTATTATTATACTGTTATACTGTGTCCAGTCATGTTATATAAACTCATCTCAAAATCGGGACTTGTGAATACCACGCCACTACTCCTAGAGGAAATTGGAGTTGTACCAAGGCTCTGGCCATAACATTCAGTCAAACTGTCAATACATAACCTTATGTTTCTGTTCAAAGACATGGTATTTCATACACAGTCAATGCACTATCATTCAATACATAAATAGCACACAGTAATTCATTCCTGAATTAAGCTGATAGCAAATACACATTTTCTCCGTAAGGCACATCACAGCTTTCTTTCACTGGTGACTGGAGTCCATTTCAAACAATTAAATTATCATTTAGAAAGGTTGAAGCATAAAATAGTTAAGAGAAAATGAGAGTATCTTCAGTGAAGGGTCCTATATGTAGAGTATGGAGTTCATTTGCAGGCATTTTGAAAACCACTGAATAGGTTTAAACATGTTGGTGGAAGAGAATTTTATCAATTTTGTATCATGGAGGGCATCTCAGAATGACAGGGATAGCATTAAAACAGAAAAAAAATTGTGCTGGGAACTTCAAGCCTATTTTACACATTGAGATTCAGAGGGGTGATAATTCAGATGAGGCTGATGGCCTAAACCCGTAGAGAAGACTGTCAATTTGTGAGGATTGGTCAGAGAATATAATAAATTCAGTGATTAATTTCCCCTATTTCTGGCTTGACCACAGTGCTAACACAGAAAAGGCAGGATTTGTTTTTCTACCAGGGGCAGGGGATGTAAAGAAGAGTAGTTGTTTGGTATTAGAAGATCTAAGTTGAATGGAGTCCCTACAGATTTTTTTCCTGAACTTTGTAGAAACTATATGAATAAAAGGAGGGAAGAGTAGGGAAGCTGGTTAATAGGGCATCTTAAAGTAGGAAGACCAGAGAAGTGGAAGGCCTCTTTTTATATTCTCTTTATTATGGGGTGTAGGTGAGCACTCTGCATTAGAGGGGACATGCAAAAGGACATACAGGCCTACCCAACCAAACTAAGCTTCTAATGAATGGTGAAGGAAAGTCTCACGTTCGGTTCTCTTGGGTTTAGAAAGAAACCCAAACTGATGTTGAAGAGTTGACAAGGATAGAGTTAGAAGTGAGTGCTATCAAGCATGGGTAGAGAGAAAGGAAAATGAAAAGATGATTGAAAGAAAGCCCCAAATTCCTGATCTAAGGCAAAGACTATATAGTAACTATTAATTATTTAGATTCATGTCTTCCTCAAATAATATAAATCAGTATCTTTTTGTTTGGCCACACCCAGTGATGCTCAGGCATTAAACCTGCCTCTTCACTCAGGAATTACTCCTGGCAGTGCTCAGAGGATCATATGGGATGCTGGGATTAAACCTGGGTCAGCCACGTGCAAAGTAAAAGACCTACCCACTGTACTATCCCTCTAGTCTCTAAATTAGTATATTTTGAGTCAAGATCTTTATCAGAAATGGTAGTATGCACTTGCTACATAATGCCCCACAGTGAAGCCACACAATAAGCATATAAAGCAGGGATTCTTTCCATTTGGGATTTTTTAAATGGAGGTTCAAAGATATTGAACTTCATAAGCTAGATTGTATTCCTTATTAGGTAGTGATCTAATGTTTTGGTTTACTTAGAATTTTTTAAACAAGTAAATCATCTCATTCCCATTTCTTCCAAAGCTTTCCATAGTCCCCATTCCCTTAGCATGAAATCCAAACTCTAGCTCCATGCACACATCCTAAAACAGTGGTTTCCCTCAGGAGCTAATAATCAGAGTCATGGGCGTCATTCCATGAGAAGGAGATGTCTTCTTGGGCGGACATAGTCTATACAAATTTTCATTTTTAAAGCTTCCCTGGTGAATCTGAACTTCAGCAGACGACCTTCAAGTTTCCATTCCTCTGGTGTGGACATAAGTGTGTTTCTTCATGCCTGTGCTCATGCCTTTTTGGGGTCAACTTCTCCACAAGCTTGGAAATTCTTATACATCCTTGGCTACCATCAACGGTGCAATTTCCATCATGAAATCTGTCCTGAGCTTCATGTCTAGTGGAAACCATTTCTCCTCTTATGCCTGGTTCTTTCATAACATTCATCACTCAACTCAGCACAGTCATGCCTTAATGTTTTACCTTCACCCTTTCACCTTGAACTCTGCCTTTGACAGGGAGGGAGGGACTCTTCCTGTCCTGTTCATTGCTGTATGCTTAGTTTCTATAAAAGTTCCTGTGCCAGATTGTATACTATGCACTGAATTTGATTGTTTGCACACTGATGACTCTAAAAGGAAACTTTCATTTAAAGGCCTACCCAACCAAATTAAGCTTCTAGTGGATGGTGAAGGAAAGTCTCACATTAGGTTCTCTTCAACCATGAAAACCATCTATCGTGTCTCCCGATTTCTGTGGGAAGTAATATCAGCACACTGATAGCCTTGTTCACAAAAAAAAATTTAAAGAAATTTGATGGACAGTAGATTTTTTTACATTCTGATGCATTGATATAATCATTTTGAAAATAGCTGCTTTTATTTCTAGAATTCTACAATACAGGTTTTTATGCAGTATGTTAAACATATTTGACTTTTATTGTAATCTATTATTCCCCTCCTGATAGATGCTATCAGAGCAAAAGATGATGAATATGAAATTATTAATTTCAAATTAAATACCCCATCCTAATTAAAATTACTGGTATGATTTGAGGTGCTAATCAGTTGTCAGGATAGTGGTATTTTCTTTCTTGTTAGGAACTATATGGAGCAATAGTACAGCAAGCCATATTGCACATGGCTGACCCGGGTTTGGTCCCCTGCATCCCATATGACTCCCCGAGCACTATCAGAAGTAATTCTTAAGTTCAGAACCAGGAATACCTCCTGAGCATTGCCAGTGTGACCCAAAAAGCCATAAAAAAAAAGTTCTTGTTAGGAATTAAGAAAACCACAGAGAAGTGACATGTGAAATAAAAAAAGGGCCAGAAGGGAGATTTGAATTTAGAGCTGTATGATCCCAAAGCCTCTGTATAATTCTGTGATATGTTACTCTTAACCACATATGTAGTCTAAGTGAGATTGTGCACATGTAAATTTTTTCCTTTTGATGTAATATGTGCTGCCGAAGCTACTGAATGTATCTCGCCCGCATGGCAAAGCCTGACAAGCCTGACAAGCTACCTGTGATATATTCAATATGCCAAACACAGTAACATCAAGTCTCACATTACTGGACCCGCTTGAGCAAATCAATGAACAATGGGAGGACAGTGCTACAGTGCTGCAGATGTAATATGAACAGAACCAAAGAGTGTCATGCTAAGTCAGAAGGAGAAATACAAAGATCTCATTCAAAGATGGTATATAAAAAAATCAAACAAGCTAATAGACAATCTGATTAAAACAAATCTTTATGAGAACAGAACTGAGGTTATACAGGGGTGAAGGTAGGCAAGAAGAAATAAGTGGACAATGGTGGAGCAATATTGGCACTGTGGTGGCAGGTATGGGATGGTAACACTGCATGCTCAAAACACTAATATATTTATATTCTTGTAAAGCACTGATGCCTCAATTATAAATGCAAACAAAGGGGGCTCACTCTTCAGGCCTGTGTTTTCCCTTGAATATAAATCTCACTTGCTTATCTCTATGTTTCTTTGCTTTCTTTAACACTCTGGAGAAACCTGTGCTCTCTCTTGAACACGCAGTCCTTTCTTTCTTTCCCCTCATGTGTTTCTTTTTATTTTTTATTTATTTTTATAAAGTAGTTCACAATATTTGATGACATTTAATATTTGAACACCAATCCCATCCCACCATTCCACCTTCCCACTACCATATTTTGGATGTTTCCATGCTGAACCCCAACCCCTGCCCCAAAGCAAAACTGAAACAATTTCTTTTGTATTGCTTGTTTTGAGTAATACACTAAAAGGCCCTCCCATTGATCATCGATTTGCTCGAGCGGGCCCAGTAACATCTCCATTGGAGACTTTGTTGTTACTGTGTCTGGCATATAGAATACTCTCGGTAGCTTGCCGGGCTCTCCAAGAGGGGCGGAGGAATCGAACTCGGGTCGGCCATGTTGGCTGCGTGCAAGGCAGACGCCCTACCCGCTGTGCTATCGCTCCAGCCCAATACACTAAAAATGAGACATAAAAGGTTTCTTAGAGTAAAGTGAGTGAAAATCGTATTTCACCCAGGGGCCATTAAGCCCTTCTATAAGAGATTAATAACATGTTGTTAAAGGTTGAGTCTTGTGCGCTTAAATCTATATCTGTATAAATATATTTCCTCCTAAGGTTGGTTGCCTTCTACTTTAAACCCCACAAAATGTGGTACACTACTCTTGGAATATTAGTAGTGTAAAGTATGAGATGTCATGTGGCCCAGGAATAGGTATACTCATGGGAGAGGCTTAGCACGAGCATGTGGAGAGCAGCCGTGAGCACAGCAGCAGTTGAGTTCTGGAGGTTTTCAGCTGCTGGGCTGGTTTCATTGGGATGGGGAGGGGCCTCACACACACCCCTTCGGGTGTGTGTTGCCCCGAACCTTCATGTCTTTCTAAGATTCATTTAACAGTAAAAACAACCTTGCTTCACTGAAAAAGAATGCAGGGACCTTTGAACATGTAATCCCAAAGTTCGACTTTTCTGATTGTTATAAGTTCTGGAATCAAATATATTTGTCAGTTACAAAATTGACAATTTTATTTCTCAAGAAAATAACAG